TTTAGGTGACATTCCAAAGGATTTCAGTGCAAAACCTTTTGTGTTTTTTAAGCCTAAACTTCAGAATAATTTTCAGTTTCAAGAGCAGCGTGTACCCAATCGTTGTCTATTAAACAATTACATTATGGGCTCGAGATTTCTATCGCACGATAGTTGACGAGGGCGCAGCCCGACTCAACTATCACGCATAGAAATCGAGAGCGAATGATCTAATTGTTTTAGAATAAATCTACCAGTCGTTCAAAACTTTATCTAAATCCTCTTCACAAACACTTCGAAAAAGCCAAGAAGCGACTGTCATTTCGTTAACAAGCGCACACTGCTACGCTACTCGCTATCTAACACAGAATAGATAGTAAGCAGCGTAGCCAATCAGAGAATGCCATTCGCGATAAAACGTGAGTAGATTTATACTAAAAGCGAATAGAAAACGGTGAGAGAACCAATCAGATTTACTGATTTCCTATAGGACACAGCTGAACTCGATAGAAATACAGATGTTTTCTCTTTTTTAATTTTTGGGTGTTTGTATAAATATATCTGACAAAAACAAGTCGTGCTATTTTTGCCAACCTCGTACTCAGAGTATTCGTTCCACTTGACTGCGGTCGAGAAACGAGCGACTCTTTAAATTTCTGGTTAGAGGTCCGAAAATATCGGACTTCCGGTTCAACTACTGCGCATGCCTGACTGATATACAGGCAGCTCAATCGAGTCCCTGGTGTTATAATTCCGTTCATTTCCATTGTTTTGAAAACCAATCAAATTCGAGCTTGTAACGAACTCCCGAGAATCACTCGTTTCAACAAGTTTGTTCAGTAAGAAACGAAAACTGGTGGAATGAGATTGCATTTTTGCTTACATGGAAAAATGGAAACTTCTTTGAGTTCTAAATTATTCACTCGCCCTTTTTAAACGTGTGCTGTGCATAAGGCTTCAATTCCTTCTCATACTTACATCTTACAATCACTTTCACCGTGCGATTAACAGGATCACCAACACCATTGTAAGCTGTACAGCGATATAATCCATTTGAGCTTCTCTTGATATTGCTCATGACATAACTCCCATCCACCGCAGGAAGCTGTCCACCATCAGTGCCACTTTCCCACACTCTTGTCCAGTTGATGTTTGGTGCTGGTTTACCAGTTGCATTACAATACAGAGTAACCGTGGAGTCTTCACAAACATCTTGATTGTCACTTGCATAATCAAGCTCAGGGTGTTCTGAAAAGCAAAATTATTAATCAACTGAGGAGTACGAATCCAAATGCCATCAACTTCAAGTAAGATGTTAAAATGCAGCCAATACATTGCAGTTTCTGTCGAAGCCCTTACTACTTAAACTTTCAAGTAATAAGTATTCACGACTTTCATTACAAAACACACAAGTGCATGCATTTTTCTCGATTCCTTTATTGAGGAAGTAAACAGATGTACGAAAAGTTTGCAAGGTTACAAACTTCTTACTTATGATTTACAAAGTGATTCGGAAATTGCTTCAAAGGTTTTGCGATTGAATTAAGGGTTAGTTACAGACAATGCTTTATTCCTATGAACACCGTATTTCTCCATGTTTTGCTAAACGGAAACTATTACTTGAACTCTCTATGGGGAACGGGAATTCATTTATCACGAAGCTATCATTTAAGCTCTTTACAAATCTTTCCCTCGATTTTTTTAACAACCCAAACTGATCAGTCTAGGTCAGGTACACCCAGTGAGTCCTTCACAGACTACTATAGAGGAAGCACTTTTTTTAAACCTGTCATCTAAGTCAAGCCTATAATGGATCGATCGGCATAAAACTCCTGCAATCAAATAAAACTCATATTAGCTTATGTCGCTCATGTTTCTTTTTCATTACAAATAATGTTCCTGAGGAAATTTGATGAAAAGATATTTATCTTATGCCGACCAGCGAAAGCGAAATTTGTTTATAGAGTATTCTACTTTTTCACTTTGTATTAACTCAATAGAAGCGCGTAGGAAGTGTTTTCTATTCCTGTTAAACATTACGAACAGAAGAAAGGAAATACACATGAAGTAAAATCTCAGGAAGATCAATAGCTTTGTAGTTCGAATTTTAGTGACGTCATGTGAAAACCAGCTATTGTTTTATTATACATTGAAAGAAAAAAATGGAAGTCATGTTTTTGCTTCTTCACTGACGGCAAGTAACACAAAGCACGCGAACTTGACAAAAATCATGCACCGCGGTCATACACGACATGATTACCCGAGCTTGAGCGTTCTTGTATAACCTGCAGCTAGATGACGTCACAGACGTTGATGTGGAAAATTCACTGTACCCTTTTGGCCAATCAGAAAAGAGATAGTGAGTTCAATGTATAACAATGGCAGTTTTCGGCGTCGAAAATTAACGAGTTACGCGGATTGCTTCGATGCTTAAGAAACATTCAAAAGCTATTCGTCAAGATAAAATATTTCTGTATAAGTCAATATTCAGGGAGAAAACCAATCAATCATAACGCGATGTTCACAATCCTCACGAAGTGTCAGATAAATTTTCGATGAAATTCTAATGAGTTTTTGAGTTATTTTGTTCGTTACATCTTATGGCGGGAATGGTTGATTCCGGAAAATATCAATACCCTTCCATGGTTGGCACTTTATACTCTAATCCCGCCGTTTTGACCTCGGAAATTCCAAAATGCTCTACACCATCCCATCACAATTAACCCCCTAGGGCCTGGTTTTCATAACAACATAAGCACAAGCATAAGCGTAACAGTAGTGAGGCTAGGACGCAAAAAAAAACACAAGTAAAAACACGTAGGCTCGCGAAGAGTGGATAACTGCCTCGCACAAGAAGAACAAAAACTTGAATACTTTGAAACTTTTGGTTACGTTTCATTGCGATATTTTCGAGCATTACATTATTTCCTAAAGCCTGGTTTTCACTGCAACATAAACACGAGCACAAACATAACCGTAGTGAGGACGCACACAACACAAGCATAAGCACAAGCACACGCATGCAGAACAAACGTTTTTGTTATACCCCCCCAACTCATATCCGTTTTCCGTTTGCCATGGGTCTAAACTCACTAAAACCCTTGGGCGAACAAAGCTCACTGACTCCCTAGGGAAACAACAACTTGAACTTTCGACTCGCACGTGATCAGGTCGTGCACCTTAAAACGGCGGCAAATTTGTGTGCCAGTCGGCCTGATGTCAAAAAGCCATTTAAGTCGGGCAACGTTTCTCACTAGAGAAGGCACACATTATTCAAGAAAAGGGAATTATAATTCGGCGAAAACATATCGGATTAACAAAGGGGAAGATTTGAACATTCTGTGTCTTCAAGCTTTTAATTTGGCGCTAAAAATGGATCGCTCGCGTTCGGCAACTCGCTCTTCGATCGCTGTCGTCACTCGCCAGGTAGGAAAATAACTGTGTCATTTACAACAAAATATGCCGTTCATCGTTAAATCAAACCCAGAATCCTCGAGTCAAGCATTAGAAGAAGGCAAAGCAACTTAAGAATTGTCTTTATTTTTGTTAGCTGCAAAGAAAAAATCTGTTATCGTGTCGTTTCGGTAGGACAGTTTGGCTTGACTGCTGCTCGTACAAATCAAATTTTCGCAGGTTTTTTCTCTCCATTTTTGAGTCGGGAGGTATAACAAAACACTTAATGACTGGCCCCTCGGGAAACGGTAAGTTTTGTTTCTCCTCGACCCTCAATGTTCCCCGAAGCGAAGCCGAGGGAAACGTTGAGGGTCTCGGGGAAACAAAACTCACTGTCTCCCTTGGGGCCAGTCATTAAGTGCTTATTGTTCTTCTTGTGCTTATGCTACGAACCTATGCTTTTGGCTACCACTTTTGGGTTAGCTAAATATAAAAAAACGTGCAGTCTGTGTATGGGAATTTGATGTCAAATAAATTCTATTCTGTCTATCCTGTCTATGCAATTGCATTTACATTCTGTACAAAGGAAAACGTTCAAGGACTTGCCGTCGCGTAAACAGGTTTGCCGGTTGTCAAAGAACAGGCTAGCAGTAGAACGGGGAAAGCTTGCTATAATAGTAAAAAAACACGGCAAGTTCAATTCACTCAAAGCAATATTTCTTTGCAAATAAAACGTTAAGCAACCTAATTTTATTCACCTGTTTTGCGAAGCTTGCAACGGCGTGAAGCTACTTCATCGATCGATGAAAGATGTAAACAAGTGTCCAAACGAAATCTAATAACTTCTTAAATCCAAAACTCTCCTTTCCACCGCGAAAACTTAACGTACCAACACAGTTTACGCTGTTTTTTTTTACGCCGATAAGGTGACCTGTGATACTAATAAGGCCACCCGAGGTAAAACGAAGAAACTAACTTTCAGTTTGGCAGCCATGAAGTTATGCTTAGTACGACACCAGCCGTCCCCACTCAAACTTTTTTGAGGCTGCGAATCAATACATTTTTGGATGGAAAAATCCTTTTCCTTTTCCACCAAAAGACTGCATGCGCTTTGCTGCATGTCGATTTTCTTTCACGTCAAGATAAAATAACCGCGTTTAGATCAAACTCAGAAGCGATACGTTTCTGAAATTCCTTTTCAAAATCCGTTTGAAGCGGGAAACCAACTTAATGCATGCGTGCTCAGCCAATCAGCATCAAGTAATCATGCCCTCTTGATTACCAAAAGTCCTGTGATAAAGAAAAAAAATGCCCTCTCTCTCAGCCAATCAGCATTCAGTAATTTTGCCCGGTATGTGATAAGCGGGAAAAAAAACCGACCTTCTTACACTCAATCGAGCGGAAGTTGTGTTAGATTTAGGGCACGGACCTGTACTCGGATAAACCGAAAATCACATAAAATACGAGAAATTTAAGAGACTTGATCGGACGGATTGTAGGTTTACTACGAAGTGGTGAATGTATTGCGACACACAAGAAATAAACCAAATAACAAAAATTCTGAGTACAAGAGTGCTACAGATTGCAATTGCGATTTTCTAAACTGATATCATTATGGTTTTGTTATTCCTTGCTTCAAACACCTACAAGAAAACATCCACTGGAAGCACTGTTTTCAAATCAGCAAGTACAAATCACGAAGGACTTACTTAGTAAGCAAATATGAATCGTCCGATTTTACAGTTCCCTTCTATGCGAACTAGATAAGTCATGATCAAATGGCCAATGTCAAGCTAAAATGGGTTGTACTGCCTCAAACCTTGCTGTCATATTAAAATCATGTGAGAGATAAAGCTGAACCTCATTAATACGGTCACCAACGGACCATGAAAATTTGGCCGTAGTAACGAGGCAACCACATTAATGAGGTGCGGATAAGGCGGGGTTCCACTGTAGTTTATAAATTATGACAACCCAGAATAAATAAATAATAAAAGAGTAAATAATACAGGGCTTACAAAAGACGTTGATAGATTCATTCCTTGATTCCTTTCCACATCTATTCTCTGTTTCACATCTATAGTCTCCTGAATCACCTCTTGTAATGTTGGTAAAGTTCAGTATGTTTCCATAACTGTGCTCATCATTGCTCACTGTAATCCAAGTAACATTTGGCATAGGATCCCCAGATACCTCACAAGTCAGGCTAAAAGTATCTCCTTCAATCACTGTATTTGAAGACTTGACAACTCTGACAACAGATGCAGAATCTGAAAATAAAATTAATATTTCACGAGATAATTAATGCCAGAAGATTTGAAATCTTAGTTCTGTTGCAGTGCTTAAATGAACTTAAGCAAATTCATTTCTTAAGATAATACTATTCAAATGATAAATCCCGGTCTAATGAGAAGATCAATATAGCTCTCGGAAAGAAGTCATCGTCAAGGAAATGCGAACGATGTGGCGTATCTAGTCTTTCTTGAAACTCTGACGCGTTTACACTTCATTTCACAAGCGTGACTGTAATGATAATTTTCAAGAGGGGAAGAATGCGAAAAAAATGAAAAGTGAAAACAAAAAAGTGGCCTAGGGCTCGTGTTCCGACACATTTCAGCTAGTTCTTCCAACTTCACGTCTTCTTTCTCTTTAACAATTATATAATAACCCAAGTTATTCTTGCATTTTGATTGGTTCTCGCCTATGATCTATTAGAGGACAAACGCAGGACTGACGGCATCATTTCAAAGATTTTTTTCCCCTCTGTGTTCTAAAATGGCGGAAAGTTTTAAGAATTAAGAGAATATTTTACGTGACCAGGGGAAAGGTAAGGTGCAAAAAAGTCTTGTCGAGGCATTGAATAGGTACGAGAAAAGGGAAGAAGAAAGAAAAAGCCGTTTCTTTTTCAGAAAATGACTCAGAAAAATACTCGAGCAGTCTCAGTCGACAGTCGAGCGAGACTAAACCAAACACAAAATTGGTCTTGAAATTACTTTAAGGTAAGAAACCATTGCTTTGTCTCAAATGTTTTCAAACCCAATAAACAAAATTGTGATATCATTAATTCATTTAAACAATTGAGCTTTTCGAAGTTTCAAAATAATTGTTGACACAGATTGATGTCAGGAATGAAACATCAAAACATCACTTCTTAAAGTCAGTTAAAAAAAAACACACATGACCTTGCTTTCCGACGCGAATGTTCCAGTCCGTTTCAGGGCACAGCAGCGAGGAAAGTATAGCTCAATACAACTTACGGCCAAATGTATCGCAGCTAGAAAGTGTCTTCGACACTATCACAAATGCACCTGAGAATCACTGACCTGTCACTAACGCTCCTTTCATTCAAAACTCGAATCTACTGCCTTGCAATGTTGACCGCAACCGCAAATTTTAGCCAATTTATATCAAAATATCACCTCTCACTCAGTACCCTTGGGGGATTATCACCCCCTCTTGAGGATTACCACCTCGTACTCAGTACCCTTGGGGATTATCACCCCCAGGGCGATCCTTACACCCCTAGGAAAAAGTGACCTAGAATTCTTCATTGGAGTGCTTCATCCCTTACCTCTTTTCCCCACAAATGTTCTGGTTGTGTTGTTTGTTTATATATAATTATAGTAAGGGTTATGGGTTAGGAACATTAACCGAGCGTATTTTTCAACTCCAGCAATATTCAAGGCAATGTCCTATTTTTCTTAACTCACTGGGGTGCTCTGATGACAAAAACTGATTTGACGTTTCCAGCATTTTACAAGATTTGTGGATTTCGCTGTTCAAGTCTGCTTTCGCTGTTAATCACAACTATAACAAAATTCTCTAACGTGATTGGCGATCAGCAGCCCGATTTGAACATTAATTGGACAGTGTACGCGTCATGCTTGTAACTGGACAGTACGCGTCATTTTGCGCGCGCTGTTGCGGTGCACTTTGTTCAGTAAACTGCTGTGTTTTTCAGCATTCATAACGACGTTTAATCGTTCAGCGCTGAATCGATGGTTTGTTCGTTTCTCGAATTTTGTCATAGTTTTGATTAATTGTTAACAGGACATCGTGTCGTCCAATTCAGTCTGTAATCATACTCGTGATTGACAAATCGGACTCCCGCTTCGCGGTCGTCCGATTTTGTTAATCACTGGTATAATTACAGACCGAATCGGACTCCACTCAGTCTTATTACCATTATAAATTTTCATTCCACGAGAAGCGACCCCCTATTCAAGTTTGAGAGTGGCGTGATTTTCCTGGAACAATGACAATTCTTTGCTACGCATAGCAACCAATGGGACTGCTTCGTTTTGTGTAGGCAATAGATTACGTCAAATTGCTCTTTTCGTCTTTTTCAAAGTGGGCAGATGCCCAGCTTTCGATGTAGGTTGAAAGATTTTGAAATAAAAAAGTTTTTTTCTGTTATAGTTTGTTTCTTCAGTTATATAGAACAAAAAGATTCCGTGTTGCCGTTTGTCTGTCCAGTAATAGATCACAGAAGACGTCAAGCTGTGATAAGAACATCAGTGACACACTCGGCTATCGCGTCGCGTGCCACTTTTTTGTTTTTACCACATTTTGACGTCATCTGTGTTCTATTACTGAACAGCAACATGGAATTGATCTATTTGCGCAATACAAAACGATAAGTAAACCGATCAAATTCACTGTTTTCCAATAGAGCATAACTGAGTCGCTGCTAAAACTCGATAGCAATACGGATGATGATTTCCCTTTCTTGATTTTCGGTGTGTATAAATATATCAGACAAAAATAAGTCGTCTTGATGATTAACATAACTATTTTTGCCAACCTCCTACCCAAAGTCTTCGTTCCCCTTGACCTGCGGTCGGGAAGCGAGCGACTCTTTAAATTTCTGGTTAGAGGTCCGAAAATGTCGGACTTCCGGTTCAACTGCGCATGCCTAACTGACAAACAGGCGGCTCAATCGAATCCCTGGTGTTATACTTTCGTTCAGTTCATTGTTTTTAAAACCAATCAAATTCGAGCTTGCAACGAACTCCCGAGAATCACTCGTTTCAACAAGTTTGTACAGTTAGAAACGAAGACTGGTGGAACGAGATTGCATTTTTGCTTCCATGGAAAAAATGAAAACTTCTTTGGGTTCTAAATTATTCACTCGCCCTTTTTAAACGTAAGCTGTGCATAAGGCCTCAATGCCCTCTCATACTTACATCCTACAATCAATTTCACCGTGCGATTAACAGGATCACCGACACCATTGTAAGCTGTACAGCGATATGTTCCATTTGAGCTTCTCTTGATATTGCTCATGACATAACTCCCACCCACCACAGGCAGCTGTTCACCATCAGTGCCATTTTCCCACACTCTTGTCCAGTTGATGTTTGGTGCTGGTTTACCAGTTGCATTACAAAAGAGGGCAACCATGGAGTCTTTACAGACATCTTGGTCGTTACTTGCATAATCAAGCTCAGGGTGTTCTGAAAAGCAAAATTATTAATGAACTGACGAGTACGAATCCAACTGCCATGTTAAAAAAAGAAAAACCATCAACTTCAAATAAGATGCTAAAATGCAGCCAATACATTGCAGTTTCTGTCGAAACCCTTACTACTTAAACTTTCAAGTAATAAGTATCCACAACTTTCATTACAAAACACACAAGTGCATGCATTTTTCTCGATTCGTTTATTGAGGAAGTATACAGATGTACGAAATGTTTGCAAGGTTACAAACTTCTTACTTATGATTTACAAAGTGATTCGGCAATTGTTGCAAACTGTTGGCGATTGAATTAAGGGTTAGTTACCGACAATGCTTTATTCCTATGAACACCGTATTTCTCCATGTTTTGCTGAACGAAAACTATTACTTGAACTCTCTATGGGGAACGGGAATCCATTTATCACCAAACTATCATTTAAGCTCTTTACAAATCTTTCCCTCGATTTTTTTAACAACCCACACTGATCAGTCTAGTTCAGTTACACCCAGTGAGTCCTTCACAGACTACCATAGGGGAAGCACTTTTTTTAAGCCTGTCATCTAAGCCAAGCGTATAATGGATCGATCGGCATAAAACTCCTGCAATCAAATAAAACTCATGTTAGCTAATGTCGCCTATGTCTCTTTTTCATTACAAATAATGTTCCTGAGGACATTTGATGAAAAGATATTTATCTTATGCCGACCAGTGAAAGCGAAATTTTGTTTACAGAGTATTCTACTTTCTCACTTTTATTAACTCGATAGAAGCACGTAGGAAGTGTTTTCTATTCCTTTTAAAAATTACGAACAGAAGAAAGGAAATACACATGGTTAGTCCACTTCTCAAAATGTAAATTCTTTTTAAACACTCGTGCTCGTTTTGTTTAACAAATACATTCCATGTTGCTGTGCGTCTGTGCGGTAATAGATCACAGATGACGTTAAAATGTGGTAACAACAAAAACTGGCACACGAGGCGATAGCCGAGTGTCACTGATGATGAAAGGAATCTACTTGCAGTGTTCACAGGGATAATGATTTCTCGAAGTAATAAGGAACAGTAGCCGGATTTTCGTTCTGGGGTGTTTTCAGGCACACCAAAAAACATATACTCTGTTCAGGTCCTGACTCTGTTGTTATACAACTTGTGTTTCCACCAAAAGCTCGCACTCCCATTCGTTATTTCGAGGTCACTTGATATCTAACGATGAAACTCTTTTTATAACAACGTCAAATCTTACTGAAGACAGCCGTTCCACTTTAATAGCTACTTGGGAAACCCGTTTCATCGGTTTGGCTCGAATCTAAATGCTTCCCTGCCAGCTTAATGTTTGTGATCTCGTAAACATCACGACTCTCCGGCAAACAAAACTGCATGCTGCTTTTAAAATCAGTAATTAAACCTTTTAGTTAGCCGAGTTACTTCCGATAGACGAATCTTTTGGCAGGAAATGAAATAGGACGTGTTTCTTAGCAAAAAAAATTGTGCCGCGCTCATCACCAGGTTGATCAACACTTTCAAGTTTACCTAAACTGTAAGATTCACTTCCTGATCAGCAACAACACTACCATCTGTTTTTCTGTTTCTGTAATTTAGTCAGCTACTCATTTCATAGTTTACAAAAATAAATGGTTCGATCCTTTATCATAAATTTCCCTTTTTATGGCTTAACAGTGGTCGTATATATTTGTTGTTTTTCCTAGCTGGGTTCGTAACTCTGTCCAAAATAATTAGAAATGTTAAGTAACTAGACGCTTTGGTGCGTGTACCCAGGCAGTCGTTACACTGAGAAGCAATGGCTATATTGCAATTGAGCTAAATGTTCTGCATTTGAAGTTGCACGAAATTCAATCGAACTGATGTGCTTAAGCTATTCTGCTTTTGATTGCATTTCTTGGAATCGATTAATAGCTTATTACTCGTTTGCAAGTNTTTTTTTTTTTTTTTTTTTTTTTTTTTTTTTTTTAACAACGTCCTAATCTTACTGAAGACAGCCGTTCCACTTTAATAGCTACTTGGGGAACCCGTTTAATCGGTTTGGCTAGAATCTAAATGCACCCCTACCAGCTTAATGTTTGTGATCTCGTAGACATCACGACTCTCCGGCAAACAAAACTGCATGATTCTTTTAAAATCAGTCATTAAACCTTTTAGTCACCCGAGTTACCTCCGATAGACGAATCTTTTGGCAGGAAATGAGACGTGTTTCTTAACAAAAATTGTGCCCCGCTCATCACCAGGTTGATGAACACATTAAAGCTTACCTGAAACTGTAAGATTCACTTCCTGATCAGCAAGAACACTCCAATCTGTTTTTCTGGGTTTTTTTTGTTTTGGAAATTAGTTAGCTACTCATTTCATAGTTTTCAAAAAAATGGTTCCTTTATCATAATATAACAATATTGGTTAAAAACTGACATTTCCACAGACTATGAACACTTGAAAGCTTACCTAAAACTGTAAGATTCACTCTCTGTTCAGCAAGAACAGTCCCATCTGATTGTAAACTAAACTCAATCTTGTATGTTCCTTCATCTTCTCTTTTGACATCTTTGATATGTAGCGTGGCTTTATCATTTCTATCAATCACAATTCGCGGAGATTTGGGTTCCTGATAAGAAGGTGTCCCAACAACTTTTAAAAAGGCTTTCGTTGCAACCTGATCATAATTTGAAGTTGACTGATTTAGCTTCTTCCAGAAAATGAAAACTAGTGTCTGACTCTGGAGCAGTTCATCAGTAGTGAGGGAGTAATTCCATGTTAATGACACATCTTGTCCTTTTATTGCTGGTGTTGGGTTGGTTGGTTGCGCTGTCCAGTCAAATGACTCTGTAGTAAAAAGTATTAATATGTACATCTGAAACGAGCATATTGTTATTCTAGCGATGTATGGTACATTTACTTTTACACGGGACTTTACAGTTTCATTTTTATTCCGATAACTTACCGGCCAAAATATTAAAAGACAAAGAAAATAAAGGTGAAATACAAACATAGAAACCAGTCTCAAGATACTGAGAAATAAAGTAGTTTCTTCGCCACGCCAAAAAAAAAAATATAGAGTTACTCGCTTGAAAATCAGCCTGTAAAAATCTGGCTCAGCTACAACAGGCGCTCGAAACAGTCATTTGTTTAACAAAAGATCACCAAATATGAAGCCCTGGCCAAACGGTGTCGCAAGTAGACGCAAGTTCTCAACTTGCGTCTACTTGCGACTCCGTTTGGCCAGGCCTTGCGTGCACTTGCCTTGACTTGCAATAACTTGCGCTCATCTTGTGGAGATCACATTTTCATGCAAGTCGACGCAAGTTTTTCACCGTTTGGCCACCCAACCCAAGTCAACGCAAGTTCAGTGACGTCCATTAACCTCTTATTAAGCCGATAAAAAAAGGACGTCTGCCTTGAAATGGGTTTTTTGGCGACTTGCGTCTACTAGCGAAGAAACTTGCGAGTCCGTTTGGCCACCCAACTCAAGTCTCTACCCAAATTCAACTTGTAGCTACTTGCGATTACTTGCGAGTCCGTTTGACCAGGGCTTAAACTAATCTTTTGACCGCATCATAAAAATCTAAACCTGTCTCAAGCTCGCGAAATAAATCAGCTACTGGAAAAATCATTACCATCGCTCTTCGGGTTTAAAAAAACCAAACGACTTATTTAAAACTAAACGTAAATCTTCAGAACTCGTCAGTCATCAAAGGTTATTGAAATTAATTTTATGAACACTAAGCAAACGAAGGTAAACTCGCTTAAAAGTATAAAACAACTGAAACCCTTTTCTGGAAATGAAATGTCTTTTCCAGTTAAAGAAAACATATTTTTTCTCTGTCAAAGTAATAAAATCTTCACAGCACCAGAAGAATTAATGTCTTTACTAAGAGTTCTTTAAATCACAGAATTATATTTTGCACAAAATCTACAAATCGGCGAGCGAAACAATAGGGAGCAGCACTTCTCCCCTATTTTTTTTTTTTCTGCTCGTCGTTTTTCGCGCTGCACCCCAACTAACTAAGCCTGAAAGAGGCTACGCAAAATCTACATAAACCATTTTCACTCGAAGGTCTGAATCAGTTGTTATTGACATTAAAATCGTTCTCTCAAATTTTCGAGAAGAAGCTTGCAGCTGTAAATTGTTTGAGATAAATATCATCCAAACGAAGATTATATACAATACTACTTTTTCGATTGGTATTGTTCCAAATGGTCGTAAGGTGGCTTCATAGTGTAATCATTTATCGCATGCGCACGATAGTGTTATGTTTTGAATGCTGTTTTTTTGTTCGTTCTTACACCCAGTCCTCTCAAACTTATTAGATGTAACAAGCAATGATGATATATTGATTTACTATCATCTCTTTTATAATCTTGGCTTTTCATCTTGAATTATAAATGTCAAAAAAAAAAAATGCGTTTTTTTACCGTTTTCATGGCTTTATCAGTGATTTTCTTGAATTATTTCCTTCAGTGAAATCTTCCAAAATTTTTACAGTACATTGAATCCGGTGGGATACGAATTTTAAACACGAAAAAGCGTAGGGTTTGTACTGGCAGGTTTTGACATTTTTAGAAAATTTGTCTTTTACCGCTGCAGAGAAACTGTTCAAATACATTTCCCTTAAAAACGAACTCCAACTAAAGCAAAATATTTATTACCGGTCTGCCAAATTTTAGGAAATTTCACGGAGTAAAACGCGAGAAAATTCACTGTCAGTTTTGCTTTTTGTGTTCATGTTGCCGTCATAAAATATCGAAAAACACTAACGTTTCCCTTTGAGCGCCGTGAACTACTTGAGCTTTCGTCCTAAGCGCGCGTGCGATCGTAAAACAATAGAGACCCACCTTAAGATGGCGAATTAATAGACTTTAACTGCTAAAAAAGGTTTCGTAAACCAGATTGAATAATTATTAGACTACGAATAGTCCCTCTCGCTTATAGTTCGTGCTACGTGACGCGAAAGAAACCTGCGAGAAAAAAAATAGCCTCGCGAAATCCTGGAGGCGAGGATTTCGCCCGGCTATGTATTTTTCTCCCAGGTTTCTTTCGCGTCACGCACGACGGACTAAAGCGAAAGAGGGACTACTCGTAGTCTAAATAATTATCATGACACATATCTCTTCTATCGTATTTAAAACCAAAAAAGCTCATGTATAGCAATATTGATGATTTACAACCCATTTTCTGTGATATACCTGACGGCTCTGTTCTTGGCCTATTACTGTTTCTTTTGAATTTTAATTGTTTTACTAACTGTTCACAAAAGATGGATTTTCATCTAATAGTATTTATTGATCATGAAAATCTGTTTTACAATCATTTAAGTTCAACAACTCTTTAGAAGAGCCTCGTCAGTGAATTAATTTTATATACACCACTGGCTGTTTGCTAATAAGCTATCACTTGTCAAGTTTTGTCGTTTTCCATCCACCATGAAGAAAGCTCATGTGTAGCGTAACACTTACTATTGAGAACAATCAATTAAATCACGAAATCCCTTTAAGACACTTAGGAATTTTGATGGATTGAAATTTATTCTGCAAAGGTCAAGCAATCTATATTACCAAAAGGTAAAAAGGAACATTAGCGTCCTTTCCAAACTCCGCTACTATTTGAATTTGGATAATTTACTTAATCTCTATTACTCAACTCAGAAGATCAGTCTTAGCAAAAGCGATTGTTATGACCAAGGTAGTTTACATTTACATCTGCTACATGTATATTGCGGCAAATTTTTTCTGAATACCATCTCGAACGTGCGCCGAGAATAGACAAACCGGCGAAGCTAGTTCCTTGCTTTTGAGATTATTTCCAATGTTTACTTTTCGGTCGGTCGAGTATTCTCATCCAGCCACAAAGCCTGGCATTTCACGTGACTAGATAAAAGGTATCTTTCTGATAGCCTCTCGAAATATGCACGAGACTCCAAGAGTCCACACTACCCACGCCGGAGAAATTTTAAAACGCAGCTTTAACCAAAAAATTCACGCCCCAACGATCAAGCGAGCGAAGGGATGTAAATTTTGCATTTGCTCGCTGTAACTCGCTCCCTCCATCGCAACTGTAATTTACATGCTATAACAAGAGTATGTACGAGTATGTTTCAAATAAATACGTGCGAAATATATTTCTGGTGTCCCTCGAGGAAAATGACTTATTGTACTTTTATCTTCGTTATGGATTGATGGAAACCAATATTGATTGTACATCCATCCAATCTGTTAGGACTTGTGTTACTTTTAAGATGAATAAATACTCAGAAATGTGCGGTTCACTTTAATAATTATCTGAATTATAAGCTCGGCGACCCAAAAAGCTCCTCTGCCTTCTCAACTTTCGAATAAAAAGAGATGGACTTTGTCTACGGCATGTTTTTGCTTGGTGGAAATGTGATGATTTAATAGCAATAAGTATTTCAATGAATTGAATTCAGTCACGAATCAGGCAATTAATTCAACTATTATCTTAGACCTTTTGTGAATATTGCTGAACATCTCTTAAAGGATACTTTGTATCAGGTAAAGCTAGGTAAGGTACTAAGACTGGCAGAATTGAGCTCATTTTAACACAACATTTAATGCGAATCTGCTGGCAGTATAAACTGTGCATTAGAGTATTTTTGATGTGCCGAGCTCGAGTGCTATTTTGTAATTATGACTCAAATGATTAGGATTGCTTCTTTAATAAAATGGATCAAAGGGGCGCTTAAAATACTTTCATGTCGGTCAAGTCAGTCGTAATTATACATCGGTGGGCTTATTTAGCGAATGAGCAACCAGCGTTACCGAAATACTACCCTGCAATATGAAAATAATCTTGAAATTGAGACCTACGAAGACCTACAAAATACGTTCGAACACAAACTATTTACACCACCTGAATATTCCGTTAAGTACATGGCAATGATACAGAGAGATTTAAACCATCCGAACTGCTTTTCCATGTCCAAACAATTCATAAACGGGATCGATCAATAACAGCTTATAGGCCAAAACTTCCGCACTTTAAAAATTCATTAATAATAATTTTGGTGTATATGTGACTGACCTTTGCATCATGTGTCAGAGAGAACGACGCATAACTT